TGTATGTCTGATACTTTCACAACTAGTTTACCATCTATCTGAATAATGTATATCAGTGATTTCCAGTACCGACAAAATATAGAATAAGAGTCTTGTGCAACATCTGGGTATCTTATAGACGTCTTGCCACCCAGTGGCTTTATCAATATAATGCTTGGACATCATACCCATATACTGTACGTATTTCATTCTTCATGTCATTTCTCTGATATGTGTTTCTGTACTTGTAATCAACAAGAGTCCGAAGAGGGACTCGTGTCTTCCTAAGACCTCAAAAGACTTCTACATTCCTTCAGGAAGAATGGGACTAAATCAGTAATGTCTTCCCTGAGCTTTGCTAACCCGTAACGCTTTATTAATGACTGGATAAGAGTGGAGAAGATACTCTACACTGCCAGAAAAAATCCAGCCCCCAAGAGTTTCAACGTTCTACCTGTCAACACAAGCAATAACCTCTTCAAAACTAACAGGATTGCTACCATATTTTCAAATAAAAGAGGAATCATAATTAGAACATGGCTGTCGGCATCTACGTGATCCCATGTGGAGCTTGTGAAAAGTTATACAAGGGATTAACCTTCAAGAACCTGAACTCGAGGTTCAACAAACACAAATGCCTGTCAGTGGGATGACGTCAATAATACCAGTACTAAAGAACCAAAAGCCACAATACCCTGACTTGAACAATACACCAATAACCTGTACATAGGAGAGAGAAGCTTATAACAAAACGTAGTCGTGAGCTCCTCTCTCCCATTCAACGAAACACGAAACCCAACTGATGAAGTTGTTAGATATGAAGGAAGCAAAAGGGCACATTAGTCTGTGCTTCGAGTCTGCTCTAACATTAACACCATCACATACAAACGAACTTCGTTCTTAATTTCACAAGTGCTGGCCAGACTCTCACCAGACAATAAATAAAACTACATAGACAAGCACTACAGTAAGCCCGCTGTCCCAACCTACTTTTCAAGCATTTGATTATTCCATTTAGCAGTCACACTCCACTTGTTCAACTCTACTTCTCGATTCACTCTTCAGCATTATATACCCTCACTTTACTGGTCTTTGTCAGGAATTTCACTAAATCCATAAACTACACATATTAACAACACACGCTGGTATATTCTACCTCTGGTATACTTTAAATGTATAGAAGACTAGCTGGCAAAGTTAGTGTATACATGGTTAACAAATGGAAGAACCGTGAAGACCGTGAGTAAGGAGCAGTACAAGAGGCTTGCACACCACGTCAAGACAGTCCCATGGAACCAAGTGCATGCTTGTTAGGGTGAGAGATTACGTGGTTGTTTGTCTCGTAAGGACGTGATGTTGTCATGGCAACTATAGCAGTGTCAGCCTTCATCTAGGAGAGAGTGGTGCACCATGTAGGTAGTGTGGTGCACCATGTAGGTAGTGTGGTGCACCATGTAGGTAGTGTGGTGCACCATGTAGGTAGTGTGGTGCACCATGTAGGTAGTGTGGTGCACCATGTAGGTAGTGTGGTGCACCATGTAGGTGGTGTGGTACACCATGTAGGTAGTGTGGTACACCATGTAGGTAGTGTGGTACACCATGTAGGTGGTGTGGTGCACCAAGTAGGTGGTGTGGTGCGCCATGTAGGTGGTGTGGTGCACCATGTAGGTAGTGTGGTGCACCATGTAGGTAGTGTGTTGCACCATGTAGGTAGTGTGGTGCACCATGCAGGTAGTGGTCCATCATGTAGTTAGTGTGATGCACTATGTAGGTAGTGTGTTGCACCATGTAGGTAGTGTGGTGCACCATGTAGGTAGTGTGGTGCACCATGTAGGTAGTGTGTTGCACCATGTAGGTAGTGTGGTGCACCATGTAGGTAGTGTGTTGCACCATGTAGGTAGTGTGGTGCACCATGTAGGTAGTGTGGTGCACCATGTAGGTAGTGTGTTGCACCATGTAGGTAGTGTGGTGCACCATGTAGGTAGTGTGTTGCACCATGTAGGTAGTGTGGTGCACCATGTAGGTAGTGTGTTGCACCATGTAGGTAGTGTGGTGCACCATGTAGGTAGTGTGTTGCACCATGTAGGTAGTGTGGTGCACCATGTAGGTAGTGTGGTGCACCATGTAGGTAGTGTGTTGCACCATGTAGGTAGTGTGGTGCACCATGTAGGTAGTGTGTTGCACCATGTAGGTAGTGTGGTGCACCATGTAGGTAGTGTGGTGCACCATGTAGGTAGTGTGTTGCACCATGTAGGTAGTGTGTTGCACCATGTAGGTAGTGTGTTGCACCATGTAGGTAGTGTGGTGCACCATGCAGGTAGTGTGGTGCACCATGTAGGTAGTGTGGTGCACCATGTAGGTAGTGTGGTGCACCATGTAGGTAGTGTGTTGCACCATGTAGGTAGTGTGGTGCACCATGTAGGTAGTGTGTTGCACCATGTAGGTAGTGTGTTGCACCATGTAGGTAGTGGTCCATCATGTAGTTAGTGTGGTGCACCATGTAGGTAGTGTGGTGCACCATGTAGGTAGTGTGGTGCACCATGTAGGTAGTGTGGTACACCATGTAGGTAGTGTTGCACCATGTAGGTAGTGTGTTGCACCATGTAGGTAGTGTGTTGCACCATGTAGGTAGTGGTCCATCATGTAGTGTGGTGCACCATGTAGGTAGTGTGGTGCACCATGTAGGTAGTGTGGTGCACCATGTAGGTAGTGTGGTACACCATGTAGGTAGTGTTGCACCATGTAGGTAGTGTGTTGCACCATGTAGGTAGTGTGGTACACCATGTAGGTAGTGAGGTGCACCATGTAGGTAGTGTGCTGCACCATGTAGGTAGTGTGCTGCACCATGTAGGTAGTGTGGTACACCATGTAGGTAGTGTTGCACCATGTAGGTAGTGTGTTGCACCATGTAGGTAGTGTGGTACACCATGTAGGTAGTGAGGTGCACCATGTAGGTAGTGTGCTGCACCATGTAGGTAGTGTGCTGCACCATGTAGGTAGTGTGGTACACCATGTAGGTAGTGAGGTGCACCATGAAGGTAGTGTGGTACACCATGTAGGTAGTGGGTACACCAATGTAGGTAGTGTGGTACACCATGTAGGTAGTGTGGTACACCATGTAGGTAGTGGGGTACACCATGTAGGTAGTGTGGTACACCATGTAGGTAGTGTGGTACACCATGTAGGTAGTGTGGTACACCATGTAGGTAGTGTGGTACACCATGTAGGTAGTGTGGTACACCATGTAGGTAGTGAGGTGCACCATGTAGGTAGTGGGGTACACCATGTAGGTAGTGAGGTGCACCATGTAGGTAGTGTGGTACACCATGTAGGTAGTGAGGTGCACCATGTAGGTAGTGTGGTGCACCATGTAGGTAGTGGGGTACACCATGTAGGTAGTGAGGTGCACCATGTAGGTAGTGTGGTACACCATGTAGGTAGTGTGGTACACCATGTAGGTAGTGGGGTACACCATGTAGGTAGTGTGGTACACCATGTAGGTAGTGTGGTACACCATGTAGGTAGTGTGGTACACCATGTAGGTAGTGTGGTACACCATGTAGGTAGTGTGGTACACCATGTAGGTAGTGAGGTGCACCATGTAGGTAGTGGGGTACACCATGTAGGTAGTGAGGTGCACCATGTAGGTAGTGTGGTACACCATGTAGGTAGTGAGGTGCACCATGTAGGTAGTGTGGTGCACCATGTAGGTAGTGGGGTACACCATGTAGGTAGTGTGGTACACCATGTAGGTAGTGTGGTACACCATGTAGGTAGTGTGGTACACCATGTAGGTAGTGTGGTACACCATGTAGGTAGTGAGGTGCACCATGTAGGTAGTGGGGTACACCATGTAGGTAGTGAGGTGCACCATGTAGTAGTGTGGTGCACCATGTAGGTAGTGGGTAACACCATGTAGGTAGTGTGGTACACCATGTAGTAGTGTGGTACACCATGTAGGTAGTGTGGTACACCATGTAGGTAGTGAGGTACACCATGTAGGTAGTGAGGTGCACCATGTAGGTAGTGGGGTACACCATGTAGGTAGTGAGGTGCACCATGTAGGTAGTGTGGTGCACCATGTAGGTAGTGGGGTACACCATGTAGGTAGTGTGGTACACCATGTAGGTAGTGTGGTACACCATGTAGGTAGTGTGTATACACCATGTAGGTAGTGTGGTACACCATGTAGGTAGTGTGGTACACCATGTAGGTAGTGTGGTACACCATGTAGGTAGTGGGGTACACCATGTAGGTAGTGAGGTGCACCATGTAGGTAGTGTTGCACCATGTAGGTAGTGTGGTGCACCATGTAGGTAGTGTGGTACACCATGTAGGTAGTGTGGTACACCTGTAGGTAGTGTGGTACACCAGTAGGTATTGTGGTACACCATGTAGGTAGTGAGGTGCACCATGTAGGTAGTGTGGTACACCATGTAGGTAGTGTGGTACACCATGTAGGTAGTGGGGTACACCATGTAGGTAGTGAGGTGCACCATGTAGGTAGTGAGGTGCACCATGTAGGTAGTGAGGTGCACCATGTAGGTAGTGGGGTACACCATGTAGGTAGTGTGGTACACCATGTAGGTAGTGTGGTGCACCATGTAGGTAGTGTGGTGCACCATGTAGGTAGTGGGGTACACCATGTAGGTAGTGTGGTACACCATGTAGGTAGTGGGGTACACCATGTAGGTAGTGTAGACAGTGGACGAGACTACTGCTGGCAGGCACTGGCTAAGTCTACTGGTGGCAGACATAGGTAAGGAAGGTGACAGTGTTACCGTACCCATGATCATCTTCACCTGTCACTGTCGTCAATCTTCAGTTCCCACAAGGAAAGTGGCACATATCACAAGCCTGTAAGTGCCCAACCAGCCCCACTACTGATCTAATTAGTGGCGTGTTTGGTTGTTAGTGGTATAGCGTCAGCACTAACTACTCTAGGGGTAGTTAACGAGCATTATAACTGCCAGAATGCATCACAGGCGGATTAGTAACAACATTAATAATGATTCACAAACCTTTTCTGATTCGGAAGACCCCTAGAAAAACAGAACTTACATCAACATCAACATTATCTAAGTAATTTAAATATAACAGGTATATTAAACAGGACAAAAGTAACAATTAACTTGACGTATATTATCATGGTTGGATTATATACACTAGTTATTAATATTTAATAATGACGTATATTATCATGGTGGATTATATACACTAGTTATTATATTAATAATGACGTATATTATCATGGTTGGATTATATACACTAGTTATTAATATTAATAATGACGTATATTATCATGGTTGGATTATATACACTAGTTATTAATAATAATGGGGCAGAATATATTATGACATGTGTATAATAGACTGACACACAAACTCACTCACACATGATAGACGAAATTGGAAATACAGTGGACCCCCGGTTAACGATTACCTCCGAATGCGACCAATTATGTAAGTGTATTTATGTAAGTGCGTTTGTACGTGTATGTTTGGGGGTCTGAAATGGACTAATCTACTTCACAATATTTCTTATGGGAACAAATTCGGTCAGTACTGGCACCTGAACATACTTCTGGAGTGAAAAAATATCGTTAACCGGGGGTCCACTGTATAGATAAACCCTTCACACGGGTCTTATAAACCCAGACAGGCACCTAAACCACTGGGATCGCTTGGAAGGCTGTGAAATGGTACTCCTTAGACTAAAGGCGACAAAGATGCATCATAATCGACACCTAGATGATAATGGAGGGACTGATCTCAAACCAGCACGCAGAAATTACTCAAACACGGGAGGCTTGGTAGGTACGAGATTCTTCTTATGAAAAACGGGGATAAGATAAGATTTCGTTGGGATTTTTAACCCCGGAGGGTTAGCCACCCAGGATAACCCAAGAAAGTCAGTGCGTCATCGAGGACTGTCTAACTTATTTCCATTGTGGTCCTTAATCTTGTTCCCCAGGATGCCACCCACACCAGTCCACTAACACCCAGGATGCCACCCACACCAGTCGACTAACACCCAGGATGTGACCCACACCAGTCCACTAACACCCGGGATGTGACCCACACCAGTCCACTAACACCCAGGATGTGACCCACACCAGTCCACTAACACCCGGGATGTGACCCACACCAGTCCACTAACACCCAGGATGTGACCCACACCAGTCCACTAACACCCGGGATGTGACCCACACCAGTCCACTAACACCCAGGATGTGACCCACACCAGTCCACTAACACTCAGGATGTGACCCACACCAGTCCACTAACACCCAGGATGCTACCCACACCAGTCCACTAACACCCAGGATGTGACCCACACCAGTCCACTAACACCCAGGATGCTACCCACACCAGTCCACTAACACCCAGGATGTGACCCACACCAGTCCACTAACACCCAGGATGTGACCCACACCAGTCCACTAACACCCAGGATGTGACCCACACCAGTCCACTAACACCCAGGATGTGACCCACACCAGTCCACTAACACCCAGGATGTGACACACACCAGTCCACTAACACCCAGGATGTGACCCACACCAGTCCACTAACACCCAGGATGTGACCCACACCAGTCCACTAACACCCAGGATGCCACCCACACCAGTTCACTAACACCCAGGATGTGACCCACACCAGTCCACTAACACCCAGGATGTGACCCACACCAGTCCACTAACACCCAGGATGCTACCCACACCAGTCCACTAACACCCAGGATGTGACCCACACCAGTCCACTAACACCCAGGATGTGACCCACACCAGTCCACTAACACCCAGGATGTGACCCACACCAGTCCACTAACACCCAGGATGTGACCCACACCAGTCCACTAACACCCAGGATGCCACCCACACCAGTCCACTAACACCCAGGATGCAACCCACACCAGTCCACTAACACCCAAGATGCGACCCACACCAGTCCACTAACACACAGGATGCGACCCACACCAGTCCACTAACACCCAGGATGCCACCCACACCAGTCCACTAACATCCAGGATGCCACCCACACCAGTCCACTAACATCCAGGATGCGACCCACACCAGTCCACTAACACCCAGGATGCCACCCACACCAGTCCACTAACACCCAGGATGCGACCCACACCAGTCCACTAACATCCAGGATGCGACCCACACCAGTCCACTAACACCCAGGATGCGACCCACACCAGTCCACTAACACCCAGGATGCGACCCACACCAGTCCACTAACATCCAGGATGCGACCCACACCAGTCCACTAACACCCAGGATGTGACCCACACCAGTCCACTAACACCCAGGATGCGACCCACACCAGTCCACTAACATCCAGGTACCTATTTTACACATAGGTGAACAGTGGCAGCAGGTGTAAGGTGACTAACCCAAGGTACCTACTTACTGTTAGGTGTACACCGACAGCAGGTGTCTTAAGGGAACACATCCTAATGTCTCCTCCGGTACTGGGGATGGATCCCTGACATCAGTTGTGAGGTGAGTGCGCTGCAGGTACTACCAGTAACCAGGAGACCTGGTGAGTGCGCTGCAGGTACTACCAGTAACCAGGAGACCTGGTGAGTGTGCTGCAGGTACTACCAGTAACCAGGAGACCTGGTGAGTGTGCTGCAGGTACTACCAGTAACCAGGAGACCTGGTGAGTGTGCTGCAGGTACTACCAGTAACCAGGAGACCTGGTGAGTGCGCTGCAGGTACTACCAGTAACCAGGAGACCTGGTGAGTGTGCTGCAGGTACTACCAGTAACCAGGAGACTTGGTGAGTGTGCTGCAGGTACTACCAGTAACCAGGAGTCCTGGTGAGTGCGCTGCAGGTACTACCAGTAACCAGGAAACCTGGTGAGTGTGCTGCAGGTACTACCAGTAACCAGGAAACCTGGTGAGTGTGCTGCAGGTACTACCAGTAACCAGGAGACCTGGTGAGTGTGCTGCAGGTACTACCAGTAACCAGGAGACCTGGTGAGTGCGCTGCAGGTACTACCAGTAACCAGGAGACCTGGTGAGTGTGTTGCAGGTACTACCAGTAACCAGGAGACCTGGTGAGTGTGTTGCAGGTACTACCAGTAACCAGGAGACCTGGTGAGTGTGCTGCAGGTACTACCAGTAACCAGGAGACCTGGTGTGAGTGTGTTGCAGGTACTACCAGTAACCAGGAGACCTGGTGAGTGTGCTGCAGGTACTACCAGTAACCAGGAGACCTGGTGAGTGTGTTGCAGGTACTACCAGTAACCAGGAGACCTGGTGAGTGTGCTGCAGGTACTACCAGTAACCAGGAGACCTGGTGAGTGTGCTGCAGGTACTACCAGTAACCAGGAGACCTGGTGAGTGTGTTGCAGGTACTACCAGTAACCAGGAGACCTGGTGAGTGTGTTGCAGGTACTACCAGTAACCAGGAGACCTGGTGAGTGTGCTGCAGGCACTACCAGTAACCAGGAGACCTTGTGAGTGTGCTGCAGGTACTACCAGTAACCAGGAGACCTGGTGAGTGTGCTGCAGGCACTACCAGTAACCAGGAGACCTGGTGAGTGTGTTGCAGGTACTACCAGTAACCAGGAGACCTGGTGAGTGTGCTGCAGGTACTACCAGTAACCAGGAGACCTGGTGAGTGTGCTGCAGGTACCAGTAACCAGGAGACCTGGTGAGTGCGCTGCAGGTACTACCAGTAACCAGGAGACCTGGTCTGAGACCGGGCCGCGGGGCGCTAACCTCCGGAAGCGACTAAACGTAATGTATTTCAAGGAATCGGGACTCGAACCTGGGTGCACCGTGACCAAGGTGACCAGCCAGGTAGATGGAGAGAGGGAGTAAGGTGGAAAGAGGGAGGGATGGGGCTAGAGGGACGGGGCTAGAGGGACGGGGCTAGAGGGACGGGGCTAGAGGGACGGGGCTAGAGGGACGGGGCTAGAGGGACGGGGCTAGAGGGACGGGGCTAGAGGGACGGGGCTAGAGGACGGGGCTAGAGGGACGGGGCTAGAGGGACGGGGCTAGTGGGACGGGGCTAGTGGGACGGGGCTAGAGGGACGGGGCTAGAGGGACGGGGCTAGAGGGACGGGGCTAGAGGACGGGCTAGAGGGACGGGGCTAGAGGGACGGGGCTAGAGGGACGGGGCTAGAGGGACGGGGCTAGAGGGACGGGGCTAGAGGGACGGGCTAGAGGGACGGGGCTAGAGGGACGGGGCCTAGAGGGACGGGGCTAGAGGGACGGGGCTAGAGGGACGGGGCTAGAGGGACGGGGCCTAGAGGGACGGGGCTAGAGGGACGGGGCTAGAGGGACGGGCTAGAGGGACGGGGCTAGAGGGACGGGCTAGAGGGACGGGGCTAGAGGGACGGGCTAGAGGGACGGGGCTAGAGGGACGGGGCTAGAGGGACGGGGCTAGAGGGACGGGGCTAGAGGGACGGGCTAGAGGGACGGGGCTAGAGGGGGGGGGGCTAGAGGACGGGGCTAGAGGGACGGGGCTAGAGGGACGGGGCTAGAGGGACGGGGCTAGAGGGATGTCATCAACCTGAAGAACGCATCACGAAACAGAGTAAGGGCGGTCCGGGTTGCCGCCCACCAGCACCAACCCACCACCATGTGCTGGAGGCGGGGGTTGGTGCTGTGGGTGGGTGGGTGGGTGAGGCAGTGCTGGGTGATAATCACACATGCCAGGTTTAATATGCAATAATTACTACCATTGTAAGTGATATCAGCAGTAGTAGTTACTAGTGGGCAAAGGCACTTGCCGACAGACACTTGGCCTATTTCGGTTGCAGGGGTCGAGTCACAGTTCCTGGCCCCGCTTCTTCACTGGTATCTACTAGGTCCTCTCTCTCCTGGTCCATGAGCTATATCATACCTCTTAAAGCAATGTATAGATCCACTTCTTAACTCTATGACTGAAGAAATACTTCCTAACATCCCTGTGACTCATCCGAGTCTTCAACTTCCAGTTGTGACCTCTTGTTTCTGTGTCACATCTCTGGAACATCCTGTCCCTATCCACTTTGTCAATTTCTCTCAGTATTTAACGTT